CGGTGGGAGAAAGATATGGCAGTCTGCTTCCATCAAGATTTACAGCCTTGGAAGCTCTATGGGGCAGTTCTACTCTGTCCTATAGGGTTGCTATGAGTCAGAATCAATGTGACCACAATGGGTAGAGGTTAATGGGAAAGAAAGATATTATACAAATAAATACACAGAAATACATAAAAATTGTGATAAGGCCCACAAGGGGAATTATAGCATTCTTTGAAACAGTAAAACAGAAGGAACAAATTTAGATTGGGGGAGTAAGAAAGTTCTCATCTAGGAAGTTCAAAATTTAAAGAATGTATAAGGATTAGCCAAGAGATTGGGGAACCCTGATTTGATTTGAGCTGGGAAGAATGGCATGATGTCGGCCCTAAATTTAGTCTTTGAACTACCTTCCTACTCCCATCAAATGAGGAAAATGTTTCTTAATTTAATCTGAAATTCAAAGGCTTTCTTGGTGTAAGATTTTCCGGAATTTAGACAAACATCAAAGTTAAGGGCACAGTCCTCCAGACTGCCTAGTCTGCCCCAAACTTCTGACACCGAGTGCAAGTTCTGGATTTTCCAAAACCATCCTCAGTTTTAATAATTCACTAGAAAGACTTACAGAACTTACTGAAAGCTATTAGACTCACGGCCACATTTATTACAGGGAAAGGATAAAAATTAGAGCCTGCCAAAGGAAGAGAAGGATAAGGCAAAATCTGTGAAGGTCCCAAATGTTCCCTGTTCTCAGGATGTATTACCCTCTTGGAACTGATGAATGACAGTACACATTGAGTATTGCCATACCAGGAACTCACCTCAGCTTCAGAGTCGAGTTTTTATTGGGGCTTCATTATGTAGGCATGTAGGTATGATTGATGGGATTGTCTGCATGGCTAAATTCAATCTCCAGGCCTACCACCCACTGGAGGTCAGGCTGATATCAGATAGTCCAAAGCCCCAACCTACCAATCACATGGTTGGTCTTTCTGGCATGGTCAGCTTCTACCCTAAGACTATCTCGGGTATGGTTGATGCAGGGGCAGATTATCTAATAGGCACTGTAAGCATGGTGCTTACTGTGCTTACCAGATCATCTGTATCTTTGATGTGGTAAAACCCATGTGAAATTGCTCACTACAGATTAGTAAGTAAGCACAAGGAAGCCGGTGCTTACTTTGCTGACCAGGTCATCTACCTATTTCAGGGACTATCAATTTGAAAAAAAGGATTTGATTCTGTAGGAAAGTGCTGTGGAGTTGGGAGAGAGACAGATGCCAGCCATACCTAGAAGCAGAGTCTTTGATGTAGTGAAAAAATGTGAAATTGTTCACTACAGATTATCTGGTCAGTAAGGTAAGCTCAGTGCTTATCTTGCCTATTGGATAATCTGCCCCTGGGTTGAGGGGTCTGCCATGAGTCATCTACTAGCATAAGCTATCAGGTGTGGTCCAAAGGACCCACCCTAAATAAGAAGGACACTCCCATCACTTGGGAAATTCCAAAGATTTAGAGGTTTCCTCTCAGGACCTGGGACAAAGGCCAGACCTTTCTGTGGAGACCACATTCTCTACTATACAGAGGTCCTTATTGGCTCTGGGGGTCAAAAGGAAACCTGATGAAGTTGTGAAGAAACATCCCAAGAGAAGAAGCCTTTAAAAAGTGTTCAGTTTGTGTCATTCCCTTGTCCATAGCAATGGAAAGCTCTTTTGTGTCTTTCAGAAAGTTGGTACCTATAGTATCTTGGTTTTGAGATCCACTGTGCTTTCATTCTATGATGTATCTTGGACCAATCATCAAAACTGACCTTGTTCTTTTGCATTTCTCACAGTTTTGCTAGGAAAAACAACCAGAAATCATAATAAAACATTACAAACTATTCCTTGTCGAGAGGAATAGTTTGCTGTAAGTGTGCTGCAATGAAAAGATCTAATGTTCAGCTTAAAGGATATTAGAATGAAAGCCATCATGGCTTCAAACTAAACAATGACCCAAGTGCTCCGTCTTGGACAGATTTGCTCAGCTAACAAAAGTCTTTGCAAGAAAGGAGGACCATACAATTAAGAACATATATATATAGTCCTCCATAATAGCAGAAAATATTAGTGATCTCCAGGATGCTGCTCTGAAGTCTTATACATTTACCTTTTTCCAATACTTAAGGTTTAAGACCTCATGACAAATGCTTTCACTGCCTGACAGGAGCCATTTATTTGAGGTACAGTCTGAATAAATAGAGTTTTAACAGTTGGTCATTCTTTTTCCTTGTCTCCTGATTTTGACTCTTGAGAAAATAACTTTTTTTTTTTAAGGAACTGTGCTATCTATATGCTTTCTTGCCTAAATGAAAACATTTTATGCTTGTTCAATTGTACATTGAGCTTCATGCCAAGTCCCTGTGGCCACAGATTCCTTTGTCTCATCCTTAACTGATTTATTTTCAGGTCTGTAACACCTGAGACCAAATGTAAGAGATCTCTCATGCTAGGAGACATTTTTAGAGAACAACTAGAATTTTCTTCTCTAAACTGACTGTACTGGTGTGTGTGTATGGTGTGTGAAGTCTCTGACTCCTGATTAACAGAAAATTGAGTCATGCTGTCCATTCTGTAGCTTCCAAGCAGCAATATTCCTAAATTTTGTGATGATAAAGAAATCTTATAGGTAAAGTTATATATTCTCTGATATCCTGATTTCTCTATACAAAAGTACATTGAGACAAACAAAGATACTTTATTCATAAAATCTATTTCCTGATCTGAATCTTTTTATCAGAATCGAGTGGGAACTTGATTATTATGAAATATTAGTAAATCAATCTCTCTCACACACACACTTCAAACCATCACAAAACTCTGTTTTGAAAGAATACATTTTTTTCCCCCATAAGCATCTGATTTAATTGTAGTGAATCTAAAACTGGGCAGGAGTCAAAAGGAAGAAACAACATGAGCTGAAATTAGTGGGTACAGACAAATGTGATGGTTTTTTAAGAGTCTCTTTTGCCTCATGAACTATGTCTTAGGGTAAACATTGTCTGCCTGACCTGGCCTTTGTATTGCATAATTCTAAAGGGTTCCATTCACATAGAATAAAATACGAATGGTGCCCTCTGGAGCTATGCAATGGGGAGGTGCTACTGGTAGAGTCTTGGTTGGGACTTCTGGTCTCTTGTGTCACCTGTGTGACAGACCTGGAGTAGCAGTAATTGCTTAGTTCATGATTCCTTTACAAATCTTTCCTCCTGACTGTAATGACTTCAAAGAAAGTAAATATAACTCTGAAGTGCTACCCTGAACTTAAAAAGAGAGCAATGTCATTAGACATTGATTGGAAGATGACTGAAAATTTCTCTTTCCCCTCAGACCTTAACTTTGGCTGATGCAACATTAGTCTTTTCACAATCATTGTTTACTTTTCTCACACAACTTTTATCCTGTAAGAGATTTAGTTACTGCCTTAATAAGGAATGTAACCAGGACACATGCTAATTTAACTCAAAAGTTTTAAACCTGGATTGCTTATACCTCGAGGCTGATGAAGAAAAATACATTTAAATTATAAGAAGGGATGTTAAGCAATGCCCCAGAGAGCACTTTTCTGCAAGTGAATCAGTTGCATTTATTTAATGATTTACTGCAAACATCTATAGTTTTATAAATTAGATATGAGTTTCTATAAATAGTAACAATAAGGTTATACCTTAAAATATCTCTCCCTCTGAAAGCATACTCTATTGTCTCCTGTTTTAAAAAATTCGCCAATAGAAAAACAAATTTCTCTCTTGCCTCTCTTTCTTTTCTCAGCTACTGCTACATTTCTCTATTCCCTTCCCCAACACAACTTTTCAAATAATCTGTTTTTTTTCTCTTTTTATTTCCTCACCTCCATTCTTTTCTCAACTAATTTCAGTGGCTCTTCCATTCCCATCACTCACTGAAACTGTTCTTCTCAAATGCACCAGAGCTTCCTTGTTGCAAATCCAACAGTTGCTCTTCTGTCACTTTACTCAACCTCTCAGTATTCCTGTGCCCTGTCTCATTTATTTTCTTGACTTAATTCTATTTTCTTGACTTTTTTGGTTTTCTCCTGCCGTACTGGCTACCCATTGCCGTGAAGTCGATTATGACTCATAGTGACCCTGTAGGACAGGGTAGAACTGCCCCATAATGTTTCCAAGGCTGTAATCTTCACAGAAGAGGACTTGAAGTACTTACTGATGAAGATCAAAGACTATAGCCTTCAGGATGGATTACACCTCAACATAAAGAAAACAAAAATCCTCACAACTGGACCAATAAGCAACATCATGATACATGGAGAAAGTATTGAAGTTGTCAAGGATTTCATTTTACTTGGATCCACAATCAACATTCATGGAAGCAGCAGTCAAGAAATCAAATGACACATTGCACTGGGCAAATGTGCTGCAAAAGACCTCTCTAAAGTGTTAAAAAGCTAAGTTGTCACTTTGAGGACTAAGGTGCACCTGACCCAAGCCACGGTGTTTTCAATCACCTTGCATGCATACAAAAGTTGGACAATGAATAAGGAAGACCAAAGAAGAATTGATGCCTTTGAATTATGGTTTGGTGAAGAATACTGAATATACCATGGACTGCCAGAAGAACGAACAAGTCTGTCTTAGAAGAAGTATAGCCAGAATGCTTCTTAGAGGCAAGGATGGTGAGACTTTGTCTCACATATCTTGGACATGTTATCAGGAAGGACCAGTCACTGAAGAAGGACATCAAGCTTGGTAAAATAGAAGGTCAGTGAAAAAGAGGAAGAACCTCAATGAGATGGATTGACACAGTGGCTGCAACAATGGGCTCAAGCATAACGATTGTGAGGATGGTGCAGGACCAGGCAGTGTTTTATTCTGTTATACATAGGCTTGCTATGAGTTGGAACTGACTTGATGGCACCTAACAACAATAATCTTTACAGAAGCAGACAGCTACATCTTTCTCCTGCGGAGAGACCTGTGGGTTCAAACCGCCGACCTTTCAGTTAGCAGCCAAGCACTTAACCACTGCGCCATCAGGGTTCCCTTCCTTTATTTGCTACCCCTTCTCAATTCCTTTTTGCTGCTCTCTTTTTCCTCTCTGCTCACCTTCTTCATGTTGGAGAGCCCAAGTCTGATGCAAGCTCTCATCTTTTCAATAACTGTACTTTCTCCTTAGAAAATTTATCTCACCATATGCCATGGCTTTAAATACCATCTATATGTCAATGACATCCAAAGTTTTATCTCAGACCCTAACCTCCCAATGAAGCTCCAAATTCATTTATCTGTCTCTATGACATCTTTACTTGGATTTCCAACAGGTATCATAAGCCCAACATGGTTAAAATACAAATATCATTTATCCTCCAAACCTGTTCCTACTCCAGTCGTAAGCATCTCAGGAAATCATGTAACCTGACCCTACAAATGCAGGTAAATTTCCATTAGCCCTTAAACTAGCCCAAGCCAGATTTGGCGCCCCCACATATGCATAGAAGGGTTAGCTGTGACTACTAATTGACTTCAGAGGACACGGCAACAGGTGGAATGAATCAGAAGGAAAATCAGCACCCAGACCCTATTCAAAAGCGAGAAGTCCGACAAGGACCACGTCACCTCCTATTTCCTGGCCGCCTTCAAGAATTTTCCCTCCCCAGTATGCCTGTGCAGCCACCATCTTGCTGCCCAAATCACATATAAGCCCTGCTTCCCTGTAGCTCAGGGAGTTGGATCTGAGGAACTTCCTCCTGGCTTCTTGCTCTGAGCATTGCAATAAAATTACTTTCTCTTTTTCAAAGACCGGTGTCCAGATGATTGGCAAGTCTGAGTGCTCCAGACAAGGATCCACCTTCCTGGATGTGGTAACAATCACATCAAGATGTACCCACTTGCTTAGACTAAGAAATTATCAAGAAGTTATTCTTAGTTCTACTCCTTTTCTTTTGTCCTCTCTTCCGCCATTTAATCCATCAGAAAATCCTGTTAATTTTACTGTCCAAGGATAGAGGCATACAAGTCTGGAGATAGGAATGAGAAGCGATGCTTCAGCTGTGGAGTTTAGGTATGGGCTGCAGGTGCCTGGAAAGCACTGTGTCTCCACAGCGCAGAGGTAGGTGGCTGAGTCTCTGGGCTGGGAGGCTGTGATGTGAAGGGAGCTGTGACGTTCCTCGGTGTTTATTGTGGCACTTAATCTTTCTTTTTTCTTCATCTCTAAACTCAGTATAAACAAGGAGACAATGCCTCCTCCAGGATTCTTCTGCAGCCACTGTAAGGTGGTCATTCCTGTAGAGTAACTGCAGTTGATTGTGACAAGCTCTCCTTCCTGGACACTTAGGTATGGGGGACTCTGCTCCACTTCATTTTTGCCACTTATCCCTGTTCTCGAAATAATTGTCACAGAATATTATCATTATTGCCACATTTCTACAAATTTCTTTACTTTACACAATTCCTAGACAACAGCTCGGATTAACCAGTTGGAACTCTTTATCCCCCATTCTCAGAATTTTGAAAAAATATCCCTTTAGTCTTCCTCTTCCCATCTCCAGAAACTCCCCAACTTACCGCTTAGGAGAAGCCACAAAATAATCAACAAAACTCGCCAAGTCTTCACCATTATTACTGTAGCTGAGGCTCACAGAGATCTCTGTTACAGTGTTTGGAATATGTGTACTTGGTCAAAAAATTCTTTCATTATTATAGCTTCTCTATGTTTACTTTAAAAATCAAAGGGGATTCCCAGCCTGTCAGAAAAAGCACAAATGCACTTATACACTTATGGGGCTTGCTACAAAATGAATCATCCATGATCTTTTAAATAAAATGCCCACATTGCCACCTAGTGGCAAGTTTATGTAGGTCACATACTCTGATGGGAAAAAAAAAAAAGATAAACCAAGCTTAGCACTACCCAAGGAGGAGTCCCGGGATGGGGGTGAGGTGGAGAATAGAAGTCATGAGTCTTTGGCTTCACCTAGCTATGCTACATCAAGTAGACTGAGTAGGTGACAACATGTGTATTTCACATTACATCTTCCGGAAAACCTAAGGACAACTCTGTCCTCTCTCTCTTTAGGTATTCCTTATAAATGTCTCTGGTTTCTTCATATGACATACCTATTTCTTCATATAATATTATTTCAGACTTCTTTCTCTTTTGGACTTGCTGCAATTTGGCCATGTCTCTTCAAATATGTTTCAAATATTGCCATCCTGCCGGAGTATTACTTTATTCATCTGTTTCCACTAATCTATGATTGTCATCTCTGATTGTTTCAGGGGTTTTATCACACTGTTGAATGATTTTGAGCTTGCAAGCATTTTCCTGTTTAGTGCTTCCTTTCTAGCCAATAGCTCATACTTTGGAAGTGCCCCTTAAGGGATGGATCTACAGGTCATGCCAGGTGACCGCCTTTCCCTGGCTATGGCTTATTGGATCTGGATAATTAACTTGAACTAGAGGTATAAAGAGAACTCTGGTAGCACAGTGGTTAAGTGTTTGGTGGCTAACCAAAAGGTCAGCAGTTCAAATCCACCAGCTGCTCCTTGGAAACCCTTTGGGGCAGTTCTACTCTGTCCCACAGGGTCACTATGAGTCAGAGATGACTGGACAGCAGCAGGTTTATTTTTTTTTGGTTTACAGGTATAGAAACAGTAGTTGTTACCACAGTAACGCAGACTGGAGTTGCCTGCCTCAATAGTCAATTCTGAGACTGGGGTGAGGTGAGCAGGAAGAGTTTATTATATATCCATATATAAAAGACAGAGGGGAATAGATTCCTCCAAAAACCTGTCTCCCCCACTGGAGATTGGCCGAAGGCTTTTTAGGGACAGGATTTTGGGTCTTAGAAGTTTGTGTTACTTCCCCCTTGAGGTGGTCATGTCCCAGATGAGTTAATCTTTCCTTGGGGGTTATCTGGCGACATCCTGGTTTTCTTGTCCCAAGATGGGTGCTTTGTTCGGTTTTTCATTCCTAGATGATTGTCTCTTGTTTTCCACCCTCTAAGGAGGAACGCTGGTTAATCTTAAACTTTTTACAGAGACTGGAACAGGAGGGAAAAACAAGATCATAAGACAACGCGAGGGTTAGCAATGGGGAGTAATAATACTGAGCCAGACCTATGAAGCCTCTTCCATAGTTAGGCAGTAATTTTTACTACAGCTATAAAGCCATGTGGAGCTTGAGTCAGAGTCCCACATTCGATACATTACAGTTAGTTTTTATAAAACTACACGTAGAAACTTATAGTTATCCCAATTACATTTCATCTTGGCTGTTTTAATCCATCTTTCTGGTGTGTGAAGATGATTTTCAATCTTTATTTTCTGATACAACATATTAGCTGCCTGTCTCAACATTGTGCTATTTACACATGGGAATTTATATACAGTAAATGTGGACAGACCAGGATGAAGGATTAAATCCTGTGGTACAATAATAGAGACATTTCCCTGAATTGAATCTTCTCTCCTTCAGCTGAAAATCTGCCAAATGAAGCATTATGCAGAATGGCAAAGTGAAAAGAGAACAGAGTTTGCAGCCCAGTGAATTTAAGTTTGAGTCTTAGCTCTGCCACTTACTATATATGGGGTATTGAGAAATTATTACAATGGTCTAGTCTTTAATTTTCTCATTTGTAAAATGGGATAATAACACCAAACTTGTATTTTTGTGTTGAGGATTACAGATAACATTAGGAGTTAACAAGGTATTGTTGTTAGGTGCCATCAATTTAATTTAGAATCATAGCAACCCAACTTCATAGGGTTTTCTTGGCTGTAATCTTTATGGAAGCAGATCGTCAGGTCGTTCTCCCATGGAGCTGCTGGGTGGGTTCGAACTGCCAGCCTTTCAGTTAATAGCCAAGAACACTTAACCATTTGTGTCACCAGGGCTTCTTTAACAAAGTATAGTGGGTTAAGAATGCAGGCGTTGGGCCACGCTACGTGGATGTGAATTTTAGCTCTCCTCTTGCTGTGTACTCTTGGGCAAATTACTTAATTTCTCTGGGTCTTACTTTCCTTATCTTTAATATGATATTGATAATTTTACCTGATTCATGGGATTGTAGTCAAAATTAGATGAATTAATGTATGAGAAGTGCTTAGAACAATATTTCATACATATTAAGCACTTGGTAACTGTTAGCTATTATTATTGATAGTAAAATAGGGCCTGTGATAAATATTTCACTCAACAAATGACAATTTGCTGCTTTTTAATTTTTCTAATGATATAATCAGAAACAAAATTGTCAAATGTCTTGAAAACATTTGAGACAATTTAAACCTATGGAAAGTCCTTGAATTTAGAAGCCTTATTTTTTTTTTTAAAAGAAGTCTTCAGTGAACTCATTCTGGTTCAAACTGATCAATTCATTGTTTTCTAAGAGCTCACACATTATCTGTTAATGATCTTTTCTAGAATTTTGCTGGATAATAATGCATTTCTTCTACATTCAGGGGTTTGAGACTTTTTCCATTCCCCATAAGTTTTCAAAGATTTTGTCCAATGCCTTTCAAATCATGCCTGCAAATTCTTTTCACACTTTGAGAATTATTTTAAATGGTCCAGAGGTTTGATCATATTGAAAGCATCTAGGTCCTCTCTTCCTACCTCTTCATCTGTCATCATTTTCCAGATCTTCTTAATTTTTTCTTTTCCAGTTTGAAAACTATTCTGCTTGATAGAGAGAATGAAACCAGGAGTTGAGGAGCTCTATTTTTTCTCTTAAGGAGCCCTGGTGGCGCAGTGGTTAAACACCCCAGGCTAACCAAAAGGTCAGAGGTTGGAACTCATCCAGCGGCTCTGCGCGAGAAAGATGTGGCAGTCTGTTTCTGTAAAGATTACAGCCTTGGAAACCCTATAGGATAGTTCTGTTCTGTCCTACAGGATCGCTATGAGTTGGGATCAACTTGATGGCAACGGGTTATCTTTTTCTCTTGGAGTCCCTGGGTGGCACAAACGGCTAAGCACTTGCTTACTAACTGAAAGGTTGGCAGTTTGCACCCGCCCAGAGATGCCTCAGAAGACAGGCCTGGCAATCTGCTTCCAAAAGGTCACAGCCTTGAAAACCTTATGGAGCAGTTTCACTCTCACACATGGGATTACCATGAATTAGAATCTACTCCACAGCAATTGACAGCAACAATACCTTTTCTCTGTTCTCTGCCAACATTATTCTGTTGTCCTCCATATGTAAATAACAACCCTCTGCCCCTGCCTTTCTCCAAACCTTTCTAAAAGGCCCTTTATATTGCACTTTACATTTCTTTGAGCTTCAACTTCATTCTGGGTTTTTAGTTTTAATGTTCTCCTTAAAGGCTCATGGTACCTTTTTTCTTTTTTAATTAAAATCTGAGTTAGTGTACCTCCTGAGCTGCTATAGGTTTCATTAGATGACTCCATCTTTCATCTTCTTATTGAAATTGCTTGCAGTGGAATAGTAAGGATTTAATTTCTAGAGCTCCTCATCCTATTAGCTACAATCGTATTTAGAATTTTGAACCATCTTTTATTTCTGAACTTTGTTAAAATTTCTTCCCTATTTATACTGGTACTCAATGTAGGTGGAGGAGAGGTATATTACTGATTTTCAAAACAGTAGAGTATGCCAGAATTGGGTTAAATAATATATATTTGTCCAATAAAATGATACAAGAAATATTAAATTGAAAAGAACATGATTAGAAAATATATATGTGATAAAATTTATCTGATTCTTCTAATATTTAATTCCTCAAATAACCAGTCAATGAAATTACACAAGGCAAATACCTAACTTCCACTAGATTAAAGGAAAGGAATAACTTAAACATGATATGAAAAAACATGTTCAATCTTGTTAGACATTCAATAAATTAAAATGAAAAGCAACTTAATAATTATGATAGGATAAGTTAAAATTCTTTTTGTGTAGATTCTATGTTAAGCTTTTTTTTTTTTTAACTTCATGTTTCTAGTTTACAGTACACAGATCCTCTAGAAAACAGAGCTGAGGCAGGGGTGAAAACGTTGATGCTTTATTTGGGAGGTGCAAGTCCAGGGAAGTGAGAAAACCCAAAGCCAAACCCACTGCCACTGAGTTGATTCCAACTTATAGTGCCCTTATAGGACAGAGTAGAACTGCCCCACAGGGTTTCCAAGGAGAGGTTGGTGGATTTGAACTGCTGATCTTTCGGTTAGCAGCTGAGCTGTTAACCACTGTGCCATCAGGGCTCCAGGGAAGTGAGATTGAGGGGAAGAGTGAGGAAGGAGAGATGTAAAGTAATTCAATGGGACATTTTACTGGGCTGGCCACCACTTTAAAATAACTGGCCCAGACACAACAGGTTGTTCTGCAGCTGTGTCTGCTCAGCACACAGGACTTCTTGGAGCAGTTCATGAAGGATAGAAAAGAGAGAATATTTATCTACCTGGTTCCCTCCTGCTTTTCATTTCTCACTGGTCAAAATTAACCCCACTGGAAGCTAACTTTCCTTCATGTCCATGATGTACCATCTAGCCTCTCAGTAGTTTGAAGGAAACCAGATCCGCATTTCACCTGATCCCAAAGTGAAAGGGCAAACAGTAGTCATGCATAGAGGTGGAATCCTCTCTGCAGAAGAAAACTAGATTATTGTTATGGCTGAGAACTCCAAGTTGTCCCTCATGCAGCCTCTGGAGGTGGTCATCACTGCAGTATTAGCTTTATTTGTGGGACTTGTGGCAGTTCCGATCTGTGCTCAGTTGTGTGACATGTCTGCTTACTCAACTATTGCTTTTCACTTTTCTATACTCCTCCAGTCTCTATAGAAAAAGGAAATAAAGAGATGTGTTAAATTTCCTTCTTGATTTAAGAGCCTGGTGAGTCTTTTCTTAAGAGGACATAATACCTCTTTATTTTCTAGTCCTACTGAATGGCCAAATCCCTCAGTTTTCAATGGATCAATTAAAGT